CACACACACACACACACACACACACACACACACACACACACACACACACACACACAGCTTTGAGCTAATGTAGCTACGTGCTAAACGGCTACCGGCACTAGACGCCGGGTCTCCTGTTGGCTATCCGCCATTTTGAGTCCGCGCATGAGAGACGTCACCACGTCCCAACTACATCATACATCGCTGAGCTGTTCCCCCGCTCCTCCTCCACGCACACGCACACGCACACACACACACACACACCTTTCAATCGTCTGTTGATTTTAGATAGCGTGCTCATAAATGTATAGTTGTTAGTTTAGATATTAGTTGACTAGATCATTAGTATTAGAACGTAATAAACTCTTATATTTTAAAGAGCAGCTGTCTGTGATTACTTTGTGCATGTGTATTGTGATAATAGCTGTATATGTGGTCTGTGCTCGAACTTAAACCTTCACTTTCACTCTGAATGTGTCATAGTACTCAGACTGCTGACATTGTGAGTGAACACTAATTATGAGACTTAGTTTATCGTTTGGTTATTGGTCCCTGTTTGCAGGGTGGTGCCCCGTTATTATTAATAATCATTAATAATTGTTACTGACATTAATAATTCGTTTGATGTCAAGAATTTAGTTTGTTAGATGCTGATAACCCAAACACGCTCCTTTACGTTCTCAACATAATGGTGCCCCCTTTTTGAGGCTATGTTATTCCCAACATATTGTTGTCCATTAAAGCATTTGATAATTAATGCGGTTACAATATGAGATGCATTTAGTAAAAGGTGAAAGATCTGAGATTGGGAGCATTTCGATTGCCTCTCAACGGCTCTCAACATGTCGACGTCAAGCTGGCCGCTAACAGCGCTAACAGTGCAAACTATGGCAAAAGTAGTGACAGAGTTAACAGTGTTTCCCTGAGGGGGAAACGGAGGGTGGGTGCTACGCTTCCTCCACAACGCTGTCGGACAGGATGGCGTTATCGTCTGTTACTCCCGTATGAGAGCACGGCAGAGCAGCGGCTCTGAGCTAACCAGTGTGGCACACTCACATGCACCAACATGCACTAAAAGCATGCGCAGCCTGAGACGACACATACAAAAGGGAGAGTGGCTTCTCTACTCAGGTAGAACATTATTCCACGATCCTTGCATAGATAGAAATGTTCAGAATGTTAAATACAGCTCCTTTAGAAAAAGGTGTGTGTATACATAAAAAGAACGGGTCGAGACTTCATAATTTGAGGCAGTTTCCAAATTTGTTCACAGAGTTGGAACAAATTCAGGTAATGAATTATTGATGAATCCCGGAATTGCGAGTAAAACATTTACACTTTTAAGCATAGATTTGTGCGTATGCACTGTTTGTGAATGACGTCCAATGTCTCTTGAAGTCTAGTGGTGTTATTAAAGGCATGGTAGGGAAAAATACACTGTTTTTCTAAATTAATGGATTACTATTAATCTTGGCAGCAGCTTGTCTCTGTGAGCTGTTAATGGCTTTTTGAAAACAGTGGGCCTGCAGAATGAGCTTCTGACTGTGGCAAACACACGTGCATTCAGGCTTTTCATCGGCATTAGAAAAAGCTACAATTGCAGCCTAAATGTGCCTGGCTTCTAGCAATAACAAATGTGTTAATGTGGCATGATTATGGGTACTTCCTGATGGTTGCGATACACGTGGCGGCAGGCAAGACTTTAGAATGCACTTTACATCATTACACTTATAACTATAACGGCTAACACTACTTTCCCTTCATTACCAGTCTACTGCTCATATCACATTTGATAGGCCACTCTGCGCTTGTAAACAGTGTCTCCCATTCAAGTCATTTGTGCTAAAGTTTTCTTTTTTGACAATAGCTTAAAGCCTGCATATAACTGAAATAAAATAATGGTTCATTGCTGAGAAAAGTATCAAGCCCTGAAGAAATAAGAGTCAGTGCAGAACTTTTCTGGGAGTCTGTTCCAGATCTGTGGTGCATAAAAGCTATTTCTCCATGTTTAGTTTCAATCAGAAATGTAATTTAGCCCTAACCTATAAAGGGATGTATTAACCATCCGTAGAATTTAAGGGTAAACTA